ATAATTGTAATTTCTCAAACCCCTCCGGTGAAAATAACATCCCTCCGCTAGTCTCCAGTGGAGTCCATATCTTCCTACTAACTTCTTTGACGCCTTTTGTATTGCTTTTCCACGAAATTCTAGGAAATGATGAAGTCAAACAGAAGCAAGCACAGTCTTCAAAAGATGATGCTTGAGTAGACACTAAAAATAAAAAAAATATGAAGAAATACAAAATCAAGAAATGCGGTTATATATGTTGTACCTTTTTTTGATAATTTGTATTGATGGTTTTCGAACACCCGAAAACAGTTCCTGTTCAAGTCAGGGCACTGCTCGGTCCTATTTGTATTTACTGAATTCACTAAATGGATTAGAACAATGATCCATTTCCACATTCTTCTTCTGCAGTTTGAAACAAAGTAAACTTCAATTGGAACCTGACTCCATTAAGGCTCTATATAATGGAGGCTGAAACAGGGAGTCCCTACATTAATCACTGAGAACTTTGTCATCAACTATTTAGGACAGCAGTGACTTTAAAGTTTAGAAAAAGTAATTGGCAAAATACTGCTAATTTTTTATGCGTGAGTGTCAGCGTGCACATCTTGGATTGCTGTGTAATGCAACTAAGACTGGGCGCGTTTTAACTTTTTCTTGACGTTTTGTTAACGGCTAGTTCCAGCCGATAAAAAAACATTTCATGTAACGCCGTTAGTTTTAAAGTTAAGAACGGAACTTACTCGTTTCGTGAGCAGTATTTTCCGTTTTTTTAGTTACCCTTAGATAACGATCTCAATTTTATTAATGGCGTTGACAGAAGATATTTCGCCGTTAACGGTTGTTTTCAAAATTCAAAAACGTCTATTTCGTATTGTTATCCAGCCCCAGCGACAACCTAAGCTTCCATTATGATCCTTTCGGCATTTAAGGCGTTAGTAAACATTTTTGTAGTTTGAGTTGATATCATGCTTTTTTTTTGGGGGGGGGGGGATCGAAAGAGTGCAAAATTATAGACAGAGGCGCAACTAGGGGGGCGGCCGGGCGCGCGCCCCCCTGCAGTATGAAAAGAAAGATTGGCGAATATCATTGTCAGGAATAATAAAACCAAAAGAGTTTCTGAATTAAGTCTAAGGCTATTGTAAACATTTAATGAAAAAAAAGTTCCGAACTGTATTCAAACTTTGAATTATTTTGGTAAAATATTCTAAGTTTGAAATATCAAAGGTTTACACCACTCGGTGAAAAATTTTAAGGATTAGAATATTTGAGTTTCTGGGAAACTCAGTTCCAAATCTCGAGAACATTCTAAGATCTGACTGAACCTGGCAAACTTCTAACTGATTATCATATTTGATAACTGTAACCTGTTTATCTTCATTGAAAGAACTTCTATAAATCGAAAATGAAATACGATGTTGGTTAGAATGATCAATCATAAATTCAATAACTTCAGGAGAAAACGTAACATTATCTGTCCTTATTCAATGTAGATGATTAAAATTATATATGTATTTTGATGTTTTTTTTTCCAAAATAAATAAATGATTATTTCTTGTAATTATATCTGTAATTAAACAAGGTACTTAAAAATTTTCTTTGGCGCTTCGCGCACACATTAAAAGAATTGATTGCCTCAAATCGATAATTTTACAGTTGTTGAAAGAATGAATTTTTAAAAATCACAAGAAAAAAAACGATTTGAAATGTACACAACACAGCCAAATCTTCATGGTAACGGGTTATTTTAGTTTTTCGACATCAAAAGCACTTTTTATTTTGAATTTTTTTTTACAACCATTACAAAAAGTGCTAATTGCGTCTCTGATTATAGAGCTGGAAACATTTTCAATCCGTTCGTTAAACTAACGTTTCTTATCAGGTAACAGCTCGTTTTTAACTATATAGATACCAAGTTTATGGCACTTTCCGCTCGTTAACGGAACTTTCTAAATCAGTAGTTCGATAGCGATATTTTGCACAGTATGATTTCCATCTTGCGAAATGATTGATCCGATATTCAAAACATATTCAAGCTTAGTTATAGTTATGCTAAGCATAAAAATTAACTTCAGGTAATGTTCAATTCACAACGGTAACCTTAAAACATTTATGTGATCAATATTGCCATTTTTCTAGGTAAATGTTTTATTTCTGATTATTTATGTTTTCCTGCTGTAGAAATGCGCAAGTCACTACTGTAAAGAAACCGTAATTGAAAAGAATCAGTTTTAAAAATTATAAACATTGATATTTAATTCATACTTGATCAGACACAGATTTCAAGTGTACCGTTGTGAATCGGGCATTGACATCTGTAAATTGATTGCTACTTGAAACTACGCTAAAAGATGTCCCTTTAACTAACCGTTTGCAAGTGACGGTTCTTTTCCTTCGTTAACAAAATTTTCAGGTACAGGGTGTCCCACGAAACATGACAGTTGGTAAATAGTTTTGGATGTCGTCTTCCATACACTGTATTAGGTATTAAAGGCTGTTTGCAGTTTATTTCGTTCAACAAATCTTTTGCTCAAATATATTTTACTTTGAAGTTAACTTCACTATAATATGACTCCCATTTAATATTTGTATTATTGTCTTTGGTATTAAACAACTTAACAAACTATGGAAGAAGACTTTCTAAACTATTTACCAACTGATGCTTCGTGGGACACCCTGTAGATAAAAAATCTGTGCGATGACGTAACTTTCCCCACTTTCATGAGAAGGAAATGGAAAACAGTAACAGAATTCATACAAACCTTTAAGAACCATACATCTTTCAGCAATACATAATCTTTATTCACGTTTATATTTTTCCAGCTCAGTAAAATGAAAGTTTACATTCAAGTTTATATTTTTTTAAAAATCAAAAATCATACAAAACTAAATAAATAAATACAAAAAATTTACCTTTGAGGTATTTTTGAAATGTTGCAAGCATTGCCAAAACACAACATTTTTGTTGAGCAAACAAAAAAAGAAAGAACATTTTCTTTGAACGATTAATCAAAAATATTTCACAATGAAACTCAACGATTTCTTAAAATATATTAATGAACCTTGAAGAAAAAAAACACATTTATTAATGTCTTAACCCGGCACAAACAATTCCGGTTATTCCAAAATCAATTTTCAAAACTGTTCGAAGTGTTGTTAAAATTATATCTACACAGAGTGCTCAATGCATTTCTTGCTGGTTACAATTTCTTAGTACGACATTTTCTTCACAAATGTACAGAGCTATAAATATGCATTATTCTTATTTTTACTATCATTATTTATTATTGTGGACTCACCCTGTTACTGATGTAACTCAATAATCTTTAATTTTCACGAGGTAGAGATTATTTCGTTTTAGGCTTTAATTCGTAACTGAATGCTACGAATTTTTAAATAGTTTAAGATATCTATAAAATATTGAATTGAATTGATAATTACATAGAACATCTAAAAGACTAAGACATATGAACATAATTTCCTTAAGTTCGTGTGTAATGTTTTTATCTTTGTTGATAGATATCATTCAAGCATGAATACTCATATGCCTTGACAAATTCGAGGACAATGAGAAAGATTTACCGCAGACAGTACAGGGATACGGCCTTTCTCCAGTATGGGTTAGCATGTGCCTTTTTAAGGAGCCAATTTTGCTGAATGATTTAGCACAGTCCGAACATTGATACGACTTTTCACCAGTGTGAACCTTCAAGTGCTCATTCAAACCACTTTTAGTAGTCATTGATTTCTTACAGATGTCACAAGAAAACTTTTCTCCTCCAACATGAGATTTAATGTGACGAGAATAATTGCCAGGTGCTGAAAATGATTTCTCACACAGAGGACAAGTAAATGGTTTTTCGCCTGTATGGGTTCTCATGTGCCTTGATAAACCACTCCAAACAGTGAAAGACTTTTCACAAACTGTACAATGGAAAGGTTTCGCTCCCGTATGCCTTCTCATGTGCACAGTCATGTCACAAGTGCGAGTAAACGATTTCTCACACATTTCACAACTGTATGGCCTCTCTCCTGTGTGAATTCTCATGTGTTCTGTTAACGATCTGGAAACTCCAAAAGATTTGTTGCAGATTGTGCAGGGAAAAGGTTTTTCTCCAGTATGAGTTTTCATATGTGCACTCAAAGCGTCTGACACAGTGAATGATTTACTGCAGCTGCTACATGTGAAAGGCTTCTCTCCATTGTGAATTTTCATGTGTCTAATCAATGCCGAGGCCGTTGAGAAGGATTTCTCACAGACCAAACAGAGGTTTGGGTTTACTGAAGAATGGCTCTTTGTTTGTCTTGACATCTGGTCGGATTTAGAGATTGTTTTGTCACAGACCTTAATTTTATTCTTTAACTTGATTCCGGAAACCCTAAAAAATGTGATGTAGAATGAAAATAAAGAATGTGTAATTTTTTTTAAGAAAAGGATGATTTTTTTTCAGGAGAGGGGGACGTCCAGCAGTAGGGGGTTTGAAAAGTAGAACTTAAATTAAAGATTAAAGGGACTGTAAGCAATTATTTCAAGGGACCTTCCATTTAAAGAGGGACATTCCCGATTCACAATGATACCCTTTAAACCTTTGACTGATCAAGGATAGGGATGACAGACTTTTTTTGCTTTATATTTAGGAAAATTAATAAAAATTTACTTTCTAGAAGTGACAGAATATTAATATTTAAATTCTTATTTTCAAAATTTTGAAAGTTCATACAGTACGCAAGCGTACACTTTCAACATTTAAGAGATATCTAAACTATTCTTTGTCCTCGATCATCAGTCAAAGGTTAAAGGGTACAGTTGTGAATCTTTAAATGGAAAGTCGCTTCTAATTATGCTAACAGTTAGTTTAGTTAAGGGCAAAAGTGAGATTTAAAGTATCTTTTTTATGGGTTCCCCCCTCAGCGGGCACGCGTAGGGGGGGGGGGCGGGGGATCAGCCCCCCCCCCCTTGTAAGCCCCTGACCAGTTCCTTTAGTCCTAAGCGGGCAGGCTGTGGGAAATTGTAGACTTTTATGAGGAAAGTTTGTCCCATGTTAAAGATTTAAGTTATTACAAGAAGAAAATTAAACATCCCTAAATTGGTTCAACTTACTCTGATTCAGCGGCTTCAGGAGAGCTGGAGTCACCTAAATACATTTTATTAAAGGGAGTGACCGGCTATGTCAGGTTGTTGAACTGAGTATGCAGTGTTGTGGAAAACTTCTTTCCGATTCCTTTGAGACATAAACTTTTTAAAAATCTGTAAATCCTGAGTTTGAGCGCAAATTCGACGCTCAAATCTCCTACTTAGGGGGTGGATATGTTTTCAGAATTAGTTTTTTTAAATTATTAAATAACGACAACGAAAAATAAAGTAAAAATTATACAAGTAATCTAATTGGATGGTTAGGAACATATTTCTCAATAGAAATTTGTCACTAAATCAATTGCTAGAATCAATTATTTCGTTTTCATTATTATATTGAATTAATAATTTTCTTTGAATTTGTTCACAGATTTCTTCAAATTCTTCAAATGTCGTTTTTTCAATAATAATTCTAGAAAATCTGCGACAATCTTTGTGAATAATGAGAAACCAGAATAATGAGATAATAGAAAATAATAATTGAACAAGATTACTTATTTTCGATGATAAGATTAATTTTTATTTTCTCAACATGTTCCTATACATGACTTCTGTAGTTTAATGTATAACTTTTTTACATTTTATGTCGTCGTTATTTAATAAATTTTAAAAAATAATTCTTCAAACGTATCCACCCCCAAAGTAGGAGTTTTGAACATCGAATTTGCGCTCAAACTCAGGATTTGCAGATCTTAAAAAAGTTTAATATGTCTTAAATGAATCCGAAAGAAGCTTCCCACAACACTGTATACTCAATTCAACTACCTTACATAGCCGGTCACTCCCTTTAAAGCTAGTTAAAGGTAGCAGTACAAAAATAGTCAGAGGTCTGAAACTTTGTGTAGAGTATCAATAATCTTAAATGCTTGATTACGATATACGATGTGGACACTTTTAATTTAAATTTGAAGATAAATGCTTGATCCCTCAATTAAAGTTATCTTGTATTTAAAAAATCATTAACCCCCTCTATGAAAATAAGTTTATCCACCAGACTAGATGTTAGGTATGCTTGCACAGAGAAATTACATTTATTCGCTTTGTATTTTAGGAATCCATACAATTCACAATTTTAGGATGAGGTGGGGCGGCGGAATTTGATGAGAAATAACGAAGAAATGATTTTTTGGAAAGGGGGACCAGGTAATTTTTGAATATTACAGGGGTGTTTATTTATCTATAAATCTTCCTCCCTACTTTTAGAAAACAATTTTTTCCCCCAAATTTTAAATACGATTCCGCAGATGCGCATCATTTTTTAAAGTTTTTTTTCGCTCAATTGGGGAAAATAAATGATTTTTCAGGGAAAATAAATGATTTTTTGAGTAAAATGTCTCTAAATAAAAAAAAATTTGTCTTTTAATGATGGGGCGGGGGGGGGGGGTAATTCAGAAAAATATAACACACCTGCAAGGCTGCAATATTACAAAAGAAATATGTACCCCTACAGTTAAGGGATAACAGGTTTAAGAATTAATTAAATTAAACTCACCTTCAGAAGCTCCGATTTCCTTCTTCAGATCTTTTTCCTGTATATAGAGGGCGCACATGGCTCCATTTGAGGAAAATGGGGTGGCCTTGCTTTTTTTCTTCTTTCCAGAATTGTCTTTTTCTTGTTTCTTCTGCACAAATGTTTCATTCTCTGCATTCCTATTTCTTCCCATTGTTTTATCGCGCATTTTCTCTGAAATATACAGATTGATATTACATAAAAAGCAATTGGGTCTGTCTTAGATGTCCTAGCTACAGTTTTTTTACCCTTTCCCTTTAAAAATGTTGAAATATGGTTTTACTTCCGGTATTTTCAAATTATTTCAATTTCATAATTCATTTCGACATACTGCGTATATGTAAGATAAAAAACTATGCCATTTTAACATATACATTTAAGATTTTTAGAGGGGGAGTGGGGGGAAGGGGCGTTGAACACAACATCCATAAGTGGATTCCTAAAATTACTCAAAGTTTTGAAACATTACAATTTAATAATTTAATTATTGGGGTTGCCCTAGAGTTAACGGTTTTTGGACCTCCCCCTTCCCCCTCCCTCGTATCAATTTTGTAAATGAACTAGATTTGAACTATTTTCAACAAAAAATATTTATTTTGTATAATTTCAGGGTTAGGTTAGGTAAATTTCTAGGCCGAGCACTGCGGCTAGGACAGGCTGGGGCCGGGCGCTGCGGCAACATGACCAACTGTCTTTTTAGAACTTCCTAAAAATTGATAAAAAAATATGTATGAGGGGGAGAGGGGGCCAATGGTTATCTAGGAAAGAACCGAATAATTTGCAGTTACACATTATGTGTGGGGAGAGTTCGGAGTGTAGGTTTGCAAGGGAAAAAAAACTAACCCTATGTGTATTTAAAGGACGGACCCGAATAGCTATAGGTGGTCAAAATTAAGTGACAAGATTAAAGTTTCTCGGGTCTATTCTAGAGAATGATTTAAAATCGTATACTAGAATATACCCACAACAGTCTAATGCTCAAACTTAAAAATTTGGCGGTAGCCGGTAGTCCAGCCAGCTCGGCCAGCGGCTCGTTTCGGCTTGAGTTCACTGAATACAATCAACCGTCTGCTAGAATTTAGAAGTAAAACTGTAAAAGTGTACACAACATAAATTATGACAGCATACAAGACGACATTTAAAACCTTACCGATTTTGTGACGTCAATAAGACTAATAGGGGGTGGATCCGCATCTGACCAGTAACCCACTCAGTGGTAATTAATATGTTATACGCAACGCAACATCCTTCCGTCTGAACTTCCGACCTACTGCAATATCGGACCTCCGCCAGCTGTTTACTTTTGTATTATTTGAGGGTAAGGTTAGGTTAAGACAAAATTTCTGGGCCGAGCGCTTCGGCTAGGACAGGCTAGAGGTCCGGGCGCAGCGGACACAAGTTCATTATAGCAGCTATAAAACTAGGGTTTCCATTCGCAAAACTTTTGCGCAATCTTTGCGGAACGAAACGCAATATTTTTCTTTCTTTGCGCATCAATTTTGCGCGAAAATATTAAAAAAATAGTTAAAATTATAAAGCATTATATATTAGCTAAAATAAGAAAACAAGTAGTTCAAAAATCAAAAGAGCAAAACAATTAAGTTCACATTTTAACCAAAACATATAATTTTTTCAAATAAGAAAAAAAATGTTCAAATTTAAGCAATAATTAATTCAAGTGAACAAAAAAATAGTTCAAATGAGCTATGTTTTTTGTTAATTTGAACTATTATTTTGCTCATTTAAACTATTTTTGCCTCATTTTAAATATGAATGCAATTGATATATCAATATTAAACTCTATTTTCCGCGGCGTTTGATCTTAAATATGTAAAAACTCTTGCTATGAAAATTCATTTAACTGGGAATGAAAAAGATTTACTACAAAGTGTAATTCTTTGTATCATTTCACAAATTTAAGGTAAAATTGTTAGTTTTTCAAATTTTTCTATGCACTGCCCCCGGCCCCCCCCCCCC